CAAATTGACCACTACTCTGTTCTACTCTTTAACATTGCTATGGAAGTTATTATTTCACTTATTTGTAGTGTACATGACAGCTTGGTGCTTTGTATATTGGCCAGTCATGTGTCTTGTAACACAGGGAAAGCATCACTGTCCTTACTGAACCGATTCAAACCAACAAGAGCCTTGCACATGTACTCATCAAGGGAATGACCAGAATTGTTAAGGAATGGCACATTCCTTTGGGAAGGAAAGCTTCAAAGAGCATTCACACGTTCTGCCCTCTCTGGTGGCTGTAAAAGTGAGCTGCATGATTCTAATGATATTGTAGTGTTTCAACTGGTCTAAATTAGAGATGCCACACCTCTGTTCTCACTGAGGTCTGTGAAATCTTCAGGTTTGCCAAAGCCTTTGCCTTTTCTTTTCTTTTGCCAGTTTTGTTACGTTCATGGAGAGTGGTCTCAGAAAGTCTTTGCCCATGAATAATGTTGAGCATTCTTTCAGGTGCTTATTGGCATCTCCTTATCTGCTAAAATGCCTACTTAGCTGGACGTGGTAGCAAGCAACTGTAGTTGTAGTCACATCTATTCTGGCTGTCACTTAGTGTATCTCCCCCCCCCCCCCCCCCGCCCCCAGCTGAGGACTGAACCCAGGGCCTTGCTAGGCAAGCACTCTACCACTGATCTAAATCCCCAACCCCTTAGTGAATCTTCTTATGTGGCTGCTATGGGTATTATAATACACACATGTGAATGAAGTCTGCTAGTACCAACATTAAAAACATTTATTTCTTTAATTATGTGTATTGTGCATAGGTGTGGATACATGAGTACAGTTGTCGATGTATTCCAGAGAAGGGCTTTGCATCCCCTGAAGCTGGAGTTACAGGTGTTTGTGAGTCACCCACAAGTGCTAGGAACTGAACTTGGGTCTTCCAGAAGAGCAGTTCATGTTCTTAGCTGCTGAGCCAGCTCTCTCTATTTCCCTAGCACCAACATTTTACCATTTTTGATGGAGTAAAGAAATCTTTTCTAAATTTCGTTTCCTTTGCCTTTGGGGGGGGGGCACAGAAGGTGGGAGTCCTAGAGATGAATCCCAGGGCCTCACACATCCTAGGTTGAGTGCTGCATCCCCAGCCCCTTCCTCCCTTTTTTAATTCTCAAGTATTCACATTTGTCTTCTCCTACTCCTCCTGTTCCCCCACCCACCTGACTTTCAGTATCTCTATGCTTGGGTACCAAATGGGTAATTTCTACTTAACCACCATCTATGACTTCTAAAGACTCCCTGTTTTTCAAGAACTTTGGTCTTACTTAATTCTTGAGTCTCATTATGTAGCCCTGGCTAGTCTTAGACTTGTAGAGATCCACCTGCCTGTCTCCTGAGTGCTGGGATGAAAGGCGTGCCCCACTGCACCTGTATTGAAGGTTCTAGTCAACCTTTACAAATAAGTTAGTAATTCTTTGTTTTATATCTGAAGAATCAAGCTGGCTTTGCACTTTGTTTCTAGAAACAAGGTTTTGCTGAATATACACTTTGCTATGCGTTCCTTTGAGCATTTAATATCATGCATCTTCCTTCTGGCCTGTATGGTTTCTGAAGAGACCAGCTGTCACTCAAGTTGGTGTCCCCTATAGGCAATGCCCATTTTCTCTCAGGCTCTATGATATTGTTACAAGCTTATGGGAGCCAGGGAATGGAATGTGGCAGTTTGGAAGTAGCTGGCCCCCATAAGCTCATAGGGAGTGGCACTATTAGGAAGTGTGGCTTTGTTGGAGTAGGTATGGCCTTGTTGGAGGAAATGTGTCACTGTGGGGGCGGGCTTTAGGTTTCCTATGCTCAGGATACCGCAGTTTGTCAGGTGACTTCCTGTTACCTGCAAAATGTAGGACTCTCAGCTACTCCAGCATGTCTGCCTGCATGGCATAATGTCCCCTGTCGTGATAATGGACTGAACCTCTGAAACTGTAAGCAAGCCACCTCAATTAAATGTTTTCTTTATAAAAGTTGCCATGGTCATGGTATCTCTTCACAGTAATAAAAACCTTAACTATTACAGATGGCTTTTGAGGTTTTTGGACATATGTTGTCTTAGGAGACTGGGATCTTAAACTTGGGTTTCAGCTCAGCACACAGGTGCCGTGGTAGTGCTGGAGTTGGCTCTGGCCAGTCTCAGGCTGGCTGCCTGCTTTGTCTCTTCCAGGAGAGGAACTTTAGGTCTGCATGATGGGAAGCAAGTGCTATGCCTGGCTGGGAAGTCACTCTGGAGGGCTCCTCTCCATCCCTCTCCAGCAGTGCCTGAGTTTGTTTGAGACTGCTGTTTAAGATAGTAGTAAATTTCTTTTTTTTTTTTGAGACAGGGTTTCTCTGTGTAGTTTTGGTGCCTGTCCTGGATCTCGCTCTGTAGACCAGGCTGGCCTTGAACTCACAGAGATCTGGCTGGCTCTGCCTCCCGAGTGCTGGGATTAAAGACGTGTGCCACCAACACCTGGCATAGTAGTAAATTTCTTTTACAGGACAGTTTTGCAGCCAGCCTGGTGCCTTGTGACGCCGGCAGGCTTGGTGGCTTGTTGTGGCATGGTGTAGATGTTAGTTTTTTTAAATTACGCTGTTGGAGCACTTGCTTGCATGTGTACCATGGCACGCTTGCCAGCCAGATGATACCCTCCTCCCAAGAGGTCATCAGGCTTGGCATGTGCCTTCATCTGCTCAGCCATCTTGTCAACATTCCTTTAGATTCACTTCCCCATTGCTGAGTAAGTTAGTGGCCACTAACTTCTGCTCAGTGTGCTCAATGGCAAGGCTTTTCTACTCCACGAGCTCATGAAAACATGGCCTTTTCCTGGGCCTGTGTGAGCTCCAGGGGCATAGTCTCTGCTCTTCCCGGCTAGTTCTTTCCCAGCTTCGGTGATCTCAGGGACAGATGAGATGGAAACGGCTTAGGCCAAATGGCCCTCTGGGTGGGCTGGGCTTGTCCTCTAGTCTGTCCAGTGTGGGCTCTGCTCTGAGTCCCACAACCTAAGACTCAGTTCCCCTGCAAGCAGAGAAGCTATGGTTGCCATGAGTCAGGACCTGTTGAGTCTCACTTTGGGGTACTGTCACACTGGCTGGCAATTTGTGTGTCATGGCCAGGTATACGCTTGGCTTGGCCAAGCGGTCCATCCAGTTGGTTTCTCCAGCTACTGAGCTGGCATCCTGTCTTCTCTGCAACCTTCATCCTGAGGGCCTGATTTGTCTCCACGTCACTGACCCCACCCTTCCCATGTGGGCATCATTATGGCTTGCTTCCTCCACTCTTTCACTTTAGCCTAGTTTACCCGGACATTTGTGGTCTGAATCAACGTTATTTGCTGGGGGTTTAAATGTTTTCAGTCCTACACTTGACTTCTAGTCACACTGATGGGTAACTCTGAGCCTCTGGGATGAGATTTCCTGTTGTTCTGTTCCTAGACTCCTCACTCAGGCCAAGCAAACTGCACAGACCAGACTAGCTCCCTGGTTTGGTGGCCTATCCTCTCAGTCACTGCCTGGCTAGCCAGGGAACCCAGCTTCTGGACAGTTCCTGGGGCAACCGCCTCTGGCAGACACTCCATATTCTCTACTTTGCTCAAAAGTGAAGAGCCAATATAACCTGCCCAAGTGATTGCAAAAGGCAAAGATCTGGAGGCTCCAGGGGCTCCCCTGCTCCTAGAGAGACAGGAACACACACAACGTCAAGTGGCATTCCCACCCTGATGCCTGGAAAGATGGAGGTCCTCACAAGTGTCTAACTTCGTGGCATGTGAGAGCAGCAAGAGCACTTAAGAACATGTGAATTGAATCTGAACAGAGCCCCAAGAGGAAAGCGGAGACTTGACTAATAGAGGAGGTGTCATCTCAGGACACGAAGGTTCCATTTGGAGGCCAGGGTCCTCAGTGGCTGTTCCCTGTAAGGCTGGCACAGTGGACAGAAGCCCAATTACAATGGACTCTGCATGCCAGGTATAGGGGTCTTATTTTGAAGGCCAGTGGAAGCTTTGGGGTAGCCAAAAGTGTTTTAGAACCTTTCCTACAGGAGGTGAAAAGAATGTGGGAAGACTGTTCCTGTACCCAATGTTTTGCCATGGCCTGGGCATCAGGCTTGTTCTTTCAGTCTACCAACACATCACCATAACCAGTCTGGCATGCCCACACTGAGGGCAATGGAACCCATGGAATTATTGGACCTTGGCCTATGTTCCTGGTCCATCTAGAACGCCTTACCAGTCCTTCCTGGAACATGGCTAGTGTGAGGCAAAGTTTCTGGAAAGGGAACAAGGCTTTTCACCACAGTTCTGCCCAACATGGACCCTCAATTCCCATAGTTTGGGAAGAAAGGGCATGGGTTTATTAGAACTGGGGTTTTCTCTCTAAAGAGAAATGTTTGCGAACACAAATGGCTGACTTGATACCACATCTGCCAACATCATGAGCTGCATGTGAGGAGTGGCTAGGAGCGCAACCAAGATGGAAAGAGGGATTAAAAACCCAGTGGAGGGCTGGAGAGATGGCTCAGAGGTTAAGAGCACCAACTGCTCTTCCAGAGGTCCTGAGTTCAATTCCCAGTAACCACATGGTGGCTCACAACCATCTGTAATGAGATCTGGCGCCCTCTTCTGTGTACATAATAAATAAATAAATAGCATCCTAGGACAAGCTTCTAGGAATTTAAAAAAAAAAAAAAAAAACCCAGTGGAAACTGCAGCAGCACACGGCCAAGCCTGGACCTGCTGGAGCCCACTGCTCAGCGGTGCAGCATCAAGAGACCTGCCGTCAGGCCCAATCCTGAAGATCAAGGCACCTCACCTCCTCTCTTTCTGTACAGGTACCTGCCTGGCAAGTCTGAGGCTGTAAGAGGCCCTGTTCACAACAGTCTTGCAGCACCCACAGGGCAGGCACTGCTGTTCCCAATGGTCTCGACAAGCTAAAAACCTAGGGGAGTTTTTGTAAAAACTCTAGCTCAGGAAATTTGAAAATGAGAGCAATGAGTCCAAAGCTGAGATTTGAGAGGATTCAAGTCTTTATGCCACTCAACATGTACAAACATATTCTTAACAGAGGCCTCCACCACGTGCTTTCAAACCGTAATTCTTTCAAGAAGCACAGACAGGCAGTGTGGCCTCCTGCATGAGCCCCTGTGCTGCCCAGTGTTTGATACAGGGCATGGGAGGAGGGGGTCACAGGCTCTCCTTGGCAAAGTCGTCTTTGGTAAAAGTATTCCTAGCCATGTTACCACACTAAGCACATTTAGAACAGTGGAACTGTGGCAATCTGGATCTCTAAATGGGATATGTGTAAGTAGGTGAAGGGGCAGTCACCTCGAGACAGACAATGAGGAAGTGCCTACTAGAGACTGCGGCTGCTGGCTTATAGCCTTCTATTGTTTTAAACCGTAACTTTCTTAATGTGTGTGAGCATGCGCCATAACACAGGTGGAGATCAGAGGACAACTCTGTGGAGTGAACTTTTACATGGGTTCCGAGGATGAAACTAAGGTCACCAGGCATGTGCACAAGCACCTTTACCACTGAACTGTCTTGCCAGCCCATTAGTGGTATTTCTACAATAAAAAATTCTGCTGGGCCGGCGGCGGTGGTGCACACCTTTAATCCCAGCATTCGGGAGGCAGAGCCAGGCGGATCTCTGTGAGTTTGAGAGCAGCCTGGTCTACAAAGCGAATTCCAGGACAGGCACCAAAATTACACAGGAAAACCCTGTCTCGCAAAACCAAAAAAAGAAAAGAAAAAAAAATTCGCTGGGTTGTCAGCAAAAACCCTGATGTCAGGCTGGAGAGACGGCTCAGGGGTTAAGAGCACAGATGGCCGCTCTTCCAGAGGTCCTGCGTTCAATTCCCAGCAAACCCATGGTGGCTCACAACCATCTACAATGTGATCTGATTCCTTCTTCTGGCAAGCAGGAGTCCATGCAGACAGAGCACTCATAATACTTAGAATACATAAATAAATCTAAACAAATACCAACAAACCCCACCCTGCTGTCCACAGGAACTGCAGTGATTTTGGAGTTCAACTAAAGGTTAACCAGAACATAACCCATCAGATTTCACAGGGGAGGAAATACAAGGTGTGGCTTTAGGTCGCTCTGAGAGCTTTCATGGCAGTGCATTTACAGAAGCAAGGAGTCAGGGTACAACAGTGGTGCTCCCTGGGAAGAAGGTCCACAGAGCTTCTCTACAGCATTGACTGCTCTTGCAAGAGCATACCTTGCTGACTGTTCAGCAGCAACTACACGGTGTCTGTAAGGTTCTCAGTGCTTGAATATGGTGAAAAAGGAGGACACCCACCACTGAAGACCCTGCACCTTGGGATCTGCTCACACACTCCCTAAACAGTGGGTAAAAAACCAAGATGAGCTGGGTGTTGTGACATCCCATCCCAGAACTTAGGAGACTGAGGCAGAAGGTCAGCCTGGACCACACAAAACAAACAGAAAGCAGAGCAAACGAATGGGCAAGAGCAGGACTGGGAGAAAGAGCACAGCAGTGTACAGCCAAGACCTGGACTCGCCTAATGATATCCCTGCTCCAGCTCCTAGAAAGACTGCAAAAGGAAGTGACCTGTTGGGGTGGGGTGTCCTGAGAGGCCCACCCACAGTGTGAGAACATACAAGTGACACCCAAGTCTGAGCAGCAGGCTCCAGAGCAGAGCCAAGACCCAGGAGGCAAAGGTTGACAGCCACAGTGTATTCAGGCTGCCCAAGAGCTTCCCTTTCCCAGGCCAGACCACTCCTACCAGTTTCCATAGCAGGCTGACCCAGCCTCTTCACAAGCTTGGGGATCACACTTCTCGGCAGAACTAAACTTACCAGCTTGGTTGAGGTCACAAGGACTAGTTAGAATGTTACTATGGCCAGGGTGGGGAGATGAAGAAGCTGGCAGTGTGGGGCAGGTCAGGCACAGTACTGCTCACTGTGAGAGGTGAGGCGGAGGGTCTGTGGGCCGGGGAGAGAACTCTTTCTAAGGGAGTCCCACTAACAGAATGAGACAGTATGGGCTGTCTGACAGGAAAGGTCCTGTCACAGGGACCTGCCTCTAATGAAATGCTACTGTGTAATGCCCTGAGGTAGCACCATTGTCAGCACAGCTTGAGCCGGGCGGCCTGGTCTCCCACGCTGAGCACACACGTGCTCTTCCACTGAAGCATCTTGTGAGGAAGTCCTATCTTGGATGCCAGCACTGTCCGTCAGGCACCTTGATCAGCTGGGCACCAAGAGTGCCTGGCTGCCGAGTACCCAGTGACACTAACAGCGGCACAGGATAAAGTCTCCAGGCTCCTGGGCAAGTCCTGGATCACTGGGGTCCCACCATTCACTCTGTCGGCCCCATTCTTCCTGCCCTGTTCATCCAGGTATGTGGCCTTCCAGATGATGCCACCCCTTGTGGCTAACTGGTCCACTTCCTGCTACCAAGTGGGAAGCAAGCCTTGCAAAGACCTTGCAAAGCACACTAAACCCCGAGGATGACAAGCAGGAAGACTGGCCGTTAAGTGTGAATGCTAGGCAGGCAGTGAATAAAACCAGACATGCATTTATTTTGCATTAGATTGCACTGGTTTAAATGTCTAAAGCTAGACTAAATCCACCAGTCTCTCTACAGGGCTGACCCTGAAGTGCTCTACTCTGACTGAGTATGGTATCTGCTGCTGCTGCCTAGCCTATTCGGGCTTGGAACCACTGGTAAGTCAGAAGACAGTCACAGTGCAGTCTTGGCAGCACCAGAGACTGAGCTGATTCCCCAGGCATTTCCTCTTGCTGGACAGCAAAGACAGAGCTCGGTTAAGGAAGCCCCGGCTCACGCTATGACAACTGCAGAATCAGCCACCACCCTTGCTTAGGAAGCCCAGGCTGCTGTGTCTGGGTAGCATGTGAGAGACGCCTTCCTGCCTTTGGTTTTGATCATTCAGGTCTAGGTTCTAAGTCTCCAAAACATCCTTGCCACATGTGGACAGCAGGAAGAGCCTGATTCCTGCTGCATCTGGAGAAACTGAGTAATGTGCCTTTCATGGTCTCTCTGTATTTCTCTTCAAGAGTTGCTTGACCCAGTATCTTTGTGTCTGCTCTATACAATGAAAATACAAACTAAATGAGAATAGAAAAAATAATTAAAGCATCAAATTGTACAAATTACAAATCTGTTCCAAAATATACTTACATTAAATAAAATACGCATTTCAGTAAGATCTACAGTGAATGACTATGCATTCTGGGAAGCTTCACATCTAGGCAGGGCCAACATTCGTGGAAGAAGCTAAGAGAATGTGCATCCAATCACAGTTTATAGCGGGTTTCTTATTGCCAATCTGCCAGTCACACCGAACGTGTCATTACATCACTTGTGCAGGACACCGATTTTGTTGGGGGAAGGGAAGCAAGCGCTATCCTCAGTGGTAAGTTCATTACAACTTCGGAGGAATCCCACAGCCTAGACAGTAGAGTTTCAGTAAACATGTTAAGGGAAGCAGACAACGCTCTCGAGGCCCAGACACACTTTCTTGCTGTATTGTGTAGTCAGGAGGATGGTCTTCTTCAGGACAACATGGTCGCAAGACTGGGACAATCCCAAGGGGCTGACAGGGAGTATGAGGATGGGGAGGTGGGCTACCTCGAGCTGTTTCACATCAGAGACAACTGTGACAGAGTCCTCAGACCTGTAATCTCTCCTCTTATCATCTGGCATAGCGTTTGATGTATTCATCCACTTTGTCCCGAAAATCCTCCTGTGGGGGAGAGGTTACAGCAGAGAACAGTAAGAGAGCTAAGGGACACTTCGGGAACACGGCAAATCTCCCCAAAGTGAAGGACCCTGTGGAGAAGCCTGGCCTCATGTCTCCAATGATGCCAGCTCTCCATGATCCTAGTGCAAACTGTGCAGGGGAGGGTGTGGCGGGGAGGGGCACAGCAGAGGCCAGGTGAGAGGAAATCCTGAGAGCAACTCACCCCACACCCTCAGCTGTGCCAACAGGACCATCAGGTCTGGGAAAGCATGTTCGTGGTCCCAATGCCAACAGGACCATCAGGTCTGGGAAAGCATGTTCATGGTCCCAATGCCAACAGGACCATCAGGTCTGGGAAAACATGTTCGTGGTCCCAATGCCAACAGGACCATCAGGTCTGGGAAAGCATGTTCGTGGTCCCAATGCCAACAGGACCATCAGGTCTGGGAAAGCATGTTCATGGTCCCAATGCCAACAGGACCATCAGGTCTGGGAAAACATGTTCGTGGTCCCAATGCCAACAGGACCATCAGGTCTGGGAAAGCATGTTCGCAGTCCCAATGCCAACACTCTTCTGCAGTAGTATGAGCTATACAGCTACTCTTTTGCTGGGAGGCCCTGCTGGTGGTCAGAGGTTGTAGTCTAACGTGGTCTGGCAGCTCTCTGAGCTGGCACCATGGACAACTACTTCCTACTGGCAGAAGGTGCCCTGTTCTCTACCTGACCTTATCTGGAGACTATCTCTAGGCCCAGATGCCTGACTTATCTCTAGTGTGACCCCCGGACGGATGCAGTTCCCTGCTCATAGGTCAATTAGACCTTGTGCTAGGAGCATCACACTAGGACCATGCTTCTGATAGGAGCATGCTGTTTAATGCAAATTAGGGGACTCCCGGCTACTATCTCCAATCCTATATGTGCCCTACACTCTGGACTACAGGTGCGCTGATTCACTGAAGTCACCTCCCAGAGGTCTATCTCTGTCATACTCACAGGCTGGACAAGGCTCTCTCTGCTGGCCACTTCTGCCTCCTTTGCCCCCATGGCCCAGTAACCAATGGACCATGGGGGAGGAGGGGACCCACTCTTTGACAGACCTTTGCTTCTAGATCCATCTTCCCAGAGTAACTTCCCAGGGCCTTGCTGTCCACTAAAATGTGCTTACCTTCACAGTCCCACCCTCCCTACACCCACCATACCTGGAGGAAAGGCAAGTGGGCCACAGAGCTTACCATTCTCTTATGTCAAGAAACAATGGCCCCTGGGGCTCCTCAGATGACAAAACACAGCAAAGACCCAATGACTCACTCACTCAGGTCAGTCTGCGTGGGTAAGCCTTCTGACATCTGGGCCACTGCCACAGGTTTTCCCTAGTCTGTTCTCTCAAGGTTCGGAGTCAAATCCCACGGCCCCGAAGCTCCCTGTCAGCTTCCTCTAACAACTCAGCTCTAGGCCACTGCTGTCCCCACTGCACAGCTATAAGCTTTGTCCTGAGCACGGAGGGTTCCCCTGCTTGTTCCCCACAGCACTGAGCAGGATAAGGGCAAAGGCTTGGCACATGCTGAGGGGCTGCTGAGCTCTCTTCAAAGCGTGCCTACCTACAACTGCCTCTCCGCAATGGGCCCACGCTGACCAGCTGTGTCACGCCCCCCTGCTACATCTGGACTGGCAAAGTGACTCTTTCAAGGCCAGGTATGTTCTCAGTTGGAACACTATGAGAAGGTCAGGGACTTAGTTCCAGTCAAGTGGTGATCTGACTCTAGGTGACTGCTGCCGCCTCTCCACATCTGTGCTGTGCAGAAGTTCCCATACTGGCCGTTCACTCAAGATTTGGGAAGGGTCGTGCAGAAACTCCAAAATGTCTTCAAGATCACTTCTAGTTTTCCAGAGCTGAGCAATATTGGAGCTCACCAGGAATCATCACAGAGGCTTAGAATGTGAAACGGAGTTCATCCTAACCACGCCCGTCCTTAACTCTTGGCCCCTTCTGTTCTGTTCACTTTGGGGCAAATCCAGTGCCAGGCCCACAGGAGGCTTCCTACTGTAGTTCCTGCTGCCTCTAACTTCCTCTTTCATTTGTAAGAACACAAGACTTTAGAATGAAGACCATGGATGCTGGAGCCTGAGACTGTAGCCCCACTGACAAAGTAGGTATAACTAGTTGGAGGCGGTAATAAAGTGAGGATACACAATAAACAGCCACACTGGTCATCAAAGGATCAGAGAGCCTTCCTAGCCAGGCATGGCAACATGTGTCTATGGTCTCAACTAGTTTGGAAGTGGAGGCATGTGGATATTTTCAGCTCAGGACTTAAGGCCATCCTGGCAAGACCTCATTTCAAATAAAAGGAGATGGGGGTTTAGGAATGTTTTGTTTGGCTAGAATGCACAGATTCAGCCCCTAGCACTGCAAAATGAATTCAGTCAGGTATGGCGGTGCATGCCTTTAGTCCCAGCACTCAGGAGGCAGAGGCAGTGGATCTGTGAGTGTGAGGGCAGCTTGGTCTACAGAGAGTTCTGGGCCAGCCAGGGCTACATAGCAAGACCCTACCTCAAGCAATTAAATAAATTAAAAACAGGGTGAGCCTTAAGAGGCTGCTTGAGGATGGACAACTCAAGCTACCTCAGCCCAGGTCACACTAGAAGCTTCTGTACATTCCTGCTCAGGATACACAGGACTGTTTCTGGTCCTCTGTAGGAATCCTTTGTGCAGTCATTCCAGGAACCTTTCCCTAACAGTGCTCTGTCCCTTGTCTTCCCTGAGGTTTCGATGCTCCCATTCATGAACCCATACATTGACCCACTATGCGGTGATGGCAACTCTATCAGCTTGGTACACATATGCAGGCTCCTTCCTTCTTAGGGGCCCGGGTATTTGATTAATAGGCTTTTTTATGAGAAGCACCTCACACCCATCTGAAGGAGTTAAGACAAACAGTGTCTGATGTACAAAACAAAGCTCAGTCTTTACACACGCAAACAACTAGCCACAGAGCCAGGCCCTCAGCAGGCACAACAGAAAGAGAATTGAAAATATAATCTCTGAGAACAGCTCAAAAAGAAAAGCAAACTATTCAGAGGTCCAAAGCAAGCACACTGCCACCCGTGATCTACCAAGACGCTTAGAAAGCTGAGGGCAGCAGCGGCCTTCCCAGGCAGTGTGCAGTGAAGCACACCAACCTATACAGGCGTGGACTTGTGCCCTGTTGAGCCTCAAAGATAAACAACCAGCCCACTATCCAAATTAAGCACACACAGCATCTTTGATCCATCCAGCCATCTGGCTACAGGACTGAACCAAATACCAGCATATTTAAGGATGTGTTTACTGACTTGCTGCTTACAGCAGGGAAACATCCTGTGGGGAAAAAGAGCCCAGGAAGGAGTTTATGATCTGATCAGAGAAAAAAAAAAATAATGAAGATTAAGTGTAATTGACAAGAGTCCATTATTTTGGGTAAAGGCAAACACACAAGATCTCAGCAAAGCGTGTGGAAAGAGGCAAGTGGCCTGATGTGACCCATCTTTCCTTCTGCATCCCTCACCATTGTGGTAGGGTTTTGTTGTTTTGTTTTGCAAGTGCTCTACCACAAAGTTATACCCCAGCCCTACCTCACTGCTAATGACGTAGAGAGCCTGTCCTATTACTCATACTGATATTTATTACAATTTTACCTGTAATAGAAGCCACTTTCACTATGAGCAATCCGCACATTTACTGTGACATAAATAAACTGCTTTAAGTGGCTGCCCCACATCCGCCACTTAAGTTCTCACTTACCCAGCTGAGACTCTTTTGACCTTATGTGTCTACCTAGAAGCAGCCCGTTTGCCAGCTCACCTTGTCTCGTAAATGATGTTCTGCAGCCTCAATATTCAGTGGATCATCAAAATTCAAAAGATCCTGAAAAAGAGAACAACTCAAAATGAGGGTGGTGAAGAATCTGCTTTCCCACTGTAGCAACCCTTCAGTCTACAAAGAGCCTCAGGGAGTCAGTGACTGGCACAGCAGCCTAGAGAGCGTTCCAAGCACTCCCAGTCCCTCACTACAGAGTGTTGAGCAGGGGGTGCTTTTCAAACTAGTGAACGACAGCTGAGTAAAAGTCAAGGGTATGCCTACATACGACTATCCCCACTCTGGGGAAACTGGAGAAGATACCAATCCCATTAATTTGATGTTATCTAATAACTGGTAAAGGACCACTGTTCTCTTTAAAAGACCTTTTTTTTTTTTAAATTTTATGTGTATGAGTGTTTTGCCTGCATGTATGAAGGTGAAGTGTGTGTGTGTGTGTGTGTGTACTTGTGGAGGCCAGAGGAAGGCACTGGATTCCCTGGAACTAGTTATAGAAAGTTGTGAGCTGCTGTGAGGGTGCTAGAAAAAGAACCTGGGTCTTCTGGAAGAGCAGCCAGTGTTTTTAACCGATGAATCACCTCTCTAGCCTTGAACAATCATTCTTACAATGAGGTTCTTCAAACAGAAAGGTCTATTCTTTGTGTGTGAACACACACATGCAGGTTCTTTCTTAGCCTAATTATTGAGTTCCAGGTCCCAGAGAAACTATCTGAAAAAAGCAAGGTGGAAGGCTCCTAAGAAGTAACACCTGAGATTGACCCCTGACCTCTAGACATACCTATTCCCCACATGTACCCCACATGAAGTGTTTGTAACCCCAGAGCCTTGGCCTAATTAAAAATCTCCCTAGCAGTGGGGTTTTTTCACTGCCTTAAAAGGATTTATTTATCTTTATGTGTTCGGGTGTTTGCCTGTATCTGTGTCTGTGCACTGCATGTGTGTCTGGTGTCCACAGAGGCCAAAAGAGGGTGTTGAATCCCATTATGTCACCGAAGAAGCCAAGGCCCACATCAAAATGATTGAGCACAGTGGAAAAAACATCCGAGTGGTGGAATCCAGGTCTGACCTTTGGGTGTTTTCAGAGAGAGACAAGGAGAACCTGAAATGTCTGCAAATGCTGGCTTCCCTGTAGGTGTGTGCTGCCCAGAAACACCACAACCCTGGGCAGGGCCTCACACGTTAGTGGAAGTTCTACTGTTTTTCCTTTTGTTGATGATTAAAATCAAGCATGCTATGCCACAGATGACAGGAGGAGAGCAAATATGCTTTAGAAGGCAGAAAATCTCCAAATATGTCACCCTAAGGCCCCCTAAGTTCCTGCGTCAGTCACAGTGCAAAATCTGGTCATCAAATGGAAAGGAGGATAGCTTCTAAGACCCTGTGCTTTTTAAGCTAGTGTTTCAAACCAGCAGCCAGAAAACCAAGAAAAGGGACGAGTGACTAATAATATACTTACAGTAAATAAAGAGTTTAATCCCCAAACAACATCCTGAAAGAAGAAAGAACAATTCTCAGGCTCCTATCCACTAAGTCTTTTAAATATGTAACCAAGAAATATGCACCATAGCGCTTTTCCCAAGACAGAAAACAGGAACCCTTTCTTCAAGTCTAACCTCTGACCACCTTTGAACCTGCCTTCCATGTTAAGACAGATGCAGGGACCATGAGCCATGGGCCACGTGTGCAGCCATGCCCCATCTCCTGTTACACAGACTGGACTTCTGGAATTCCCTTCAAAACAAAGCCTGCTGCTTTGTAACATTGCTGCCTCTTGGGGTTCGGTGATAAATAACTCCACTACATCTTCTTAATCTTCTCTAGTTACTTCAAGAATTAGGGGAGACTTGCACTTCTAAGATCACTAATTCCCACTACAATAGCACTAAAAAACACTGTTTATCTGTGTTCACAGACCTGATCTTCAGATGGGAACCATGGCGATCACAGACTCCTTCTCTACCTGATTCTTCAACTCCAAAGTCTTGTTCTTTTAAGCTGATTCTCAGATATTGATTCCCATAGTATCTGCTAGCAATAATTTTTTTTTTTTTATATTTACTATTCCCTGCTTTCTCCCACCTATCGGTTTTGGCACATCTGACCTTCTGGTATGAGTTGGCTAGTGACTGGCACTGGAGGTGAAGATAAGCATTAAGCCTGAAAAAAGGGGCTAGACATCTGAGCTGACAGCAGGCTACTGCCCCAAGCAGTAGAGATGCTGCAGAGGAAATGGCAGCCATCCCAGAGACTTGCAGAAGGAACAGATGTCCTGAGGAGGGCTGGAGGAGACCTCTTTCTGGGTAATGGGACAATCCTAAGGACAGGACATGGGGAAAGGCTGGGTGGTCCATGTGTCAGGCAACAGTTTAGGAGGAACAGGGTATAACTGTATTAAGTCTACACACTCTGACATGGGATCAGGGTCAAATTTTTTCCCTGTCCTTTTCTCCCTTGTGGAGCCTATTCAGTAATAATCTACCCGTCACTTCACAATCCTTCTGACTCAGGAAGTAACCTACACACTTCGTAGCTCTTCCAGATACCCAGAAAGGCTTAAGATAGCCCTATTGAATGAACAAGACCACTAGGCTTTCTCTTGTGGTTTGACTCTTGAATACCTCAGGGCTGGTCAACAAGGACTCTGATCCGGTTACAACTGGCTAAGCAATACTTGGTGGAGCAGACCCAGAAGGTGTGTGGTTGGGAGAGCGGGGAACAAGGGTGCAATTCTTCCAGGAGGCTGGCTGCCTGAGCACTAGAAGGAAGGAATGCTACCTCTCACCTTCAACGTCCTAGTGGGCGCCCAGCCAGTGCCATCAATTGAATGCTCTCTTAGTAAGCTGCAAGACAGAGAAACACAAGTTAATGAGGAGCTGTAGCTATTCACCGTAAAGGAACGAACTGCACCTATGCAGCCTGTCTCCTCTTGGTTGGTCAGTCTTCGGTCTACTGAGGATAACCTTCACCTCCAAAGCTGGATTGCAGTACAGTGTCTACTGACTGTGTGTGGACTATTCATTCTTTACATGGACTTCTAAGCAAAGGAAAAGCTTTTTTTTTTTTAGAGACAGGATCTCAGGTGTAGTCCTAGCTTGCCTGGAACTCGCTATATACTTCAGGCTAACTGAAACTGTGTCAATTCTCTTGTCTCTGCCATCTGAGTGCTTGGATTACAGGCATGTGCCACCACACCCATCAAAAAAGCATCATTGGAACAACATACACACACAAAAAGTTGTTTAATAGCCAGAAACAGTGACGGCAACAAAAATGATAGAGGGAATGATTGAGGGTAGTCTGTAATTTATAAATGTCAGGCATAACCCAAAACATAATTCCTCCAACGGGATAACTATTTTATCTGTGAAAGAAGGAACCATTTGCCCAAAGTGTGTAGCATCCACACCCTCCAATGCTGAGGCTGGTCTCTTCTCTCCCACATACCCCAGTCTGGGAGTAGCAAGCCACAACCTCATGGTGCTCCTGCATGTTTCCTGGTGGCCAGTGAGGCTGAGCACATCGCAGGCTGATGAATGGTGTCCTCCTACAGCCAGAGCCCTTTGTCCAGTGTTAGTGCTTTCAAAACGAATACTTACATACAAGGACAACAAGTAGTTCAGGGACCCTCTTTAAGTTTTGTGTTTAGAGTTTATTATTATTTGTTGTTATGGTGTGTTTTCGTTTTGAGACAGGGTCTCAATTACGAAGCCCTGGCTGGCCTGGAACTCAGAGATCCAAAAGGCATGTACCACCACACCTGACAGTGTTTTTAAAGCTTCTGTATGGGCTGATGGCACGGGCTGCATTTCTCAGACAAAAAAGACCAGACAAGAGGCATCCAGGCACAGCTCATCTTCCTTACCCAGTGCTTACTGAGGAAAATGGAGAAACAAGAGAGGCATCCTAAGAATAGCCTCAGGACCCAACCCTTTACAATGAACGTACGAAGCATGCTTCCCAGGGTGACTGTAACATGAGGCAGGGCCTTGTTAGCCTCCCCAAGTGCTCCTGTCAGAGAGGATCTGCATCAACTGTACTTGTCTAGACCAGACAGCCACCCTGGAGTACTAGGAAAAGGGTCCACACAGGCAAGCTCAAATGCTCTACTATGAAAAGAAGCTCCCCTTTCTCTTCCCCAGTTCTTTTCTTCAGAGACCAGGAACCTCCTGGGGAAGGTTGGAACTGCTAGGCCTTGACCTCATACCACTGTGAGAGCAGGACACAGTCTATAGCTGACGAGACATAAGGAAGCTACCTACTCAGAAAGGACCATTACAGAACGTATCTTCAGTGCAAGTGTCTGAGGCCACTGAAGCTGGGCTCCTGCAGTTTTCCTTACCCACCCCCTTCCTCCTTGTTAGTTAACATCAGCCATAAATTGGGACTGTGGTTGTTCACTAAAGGAGGTGGAAACAAAGAGCATCACACTGCATGGTGAGGACTAGCAGGGCCCTGGCAACAATAAGGAGCTATTTCAGTTTGGCCTAGGCATTTCTGAATGGTAGCCAAGCAAGATCCCCTTACAGGAGTGAATTTGAAGAGGCTCACACTCGTGCAGAAGGGAGGAAGGGACTTACCTTAGACATATTTCTCCTGTTTCTGTGATGTTGGGGTGCCAGATTTTAGTCAAGCATTTTACCTTGGGAGGCTGCAACACAGAGAGAGGTCACAAGTCTCCCCAGTACATACCTGCAATGTGCATGTGCGTACTCACACACAGGAGTGCACACCCACTCCACCCCTTGGTCTCAAATTGCTATGCCTAAGTCACAGACCCACAGCTGACCATTACTGCTCCAGACAGATCAAATCTCCTTTTCAGTCAGATGTATTTGCAGACACTAGTGCTACAGTTTCCTAGACCAAGGTTAGTCTAATTTATTCTTTATTTACATTTGTATGTGTATATGAATATATGTGGACATTTGTGTTCAAGTGTGGTGTAGGTCCCTCAGAGCTGGAGCTACTGGTGTATGTGCTCTCATTCCACACCTTTGACCACAGTTCTGCACAGCCCATGGCACCTAATCCCTGCCTCTGAACCAAATGGGATGTGCTGTGGGATGGTCTGTATGTCAAATGCTCTGATTGGTCAATAAATAAAACACTGATTAGCCAGTGGCCAGGCAGGAAGTATAGGCGGGACTAACAGAGAGGAGAATTGAGAGAACAGGAAGGTGGGAGGAGACACTGCCAGCCGCCGCCATGACAAGCAGCATGTGAAGATGCCGGTTAGCCACGAGCCACATGGCAAGGTATAGATTTATAGAAATGGATTAATTTAAGATATAAGAACAGTTACCAAGAAGCCTGCCATGGCCATACAGTTTGTAAGCAATATAATTCTCTGTGTTTACTTGGTTGGGTCTAAGCGGCTGTGGGACTGGCGGGTGAGAGAGATTTGTCCTGACCATGGGCCAGGCAGGAAAACTCTAGCTACAGGGATGACTAACTGCGCTCCTCCGCCACCCCCACCCCCTATGTTCCAAAGGTGGTGCTCTCACCTTCTTTTTTGAATCCCTATAAATCCACTTTCCACCATTTACCCATCTGTCTAGCTACTTACCATTTTTATCACTTCAACTTTCTATACATCACCTTACTTCCCTACTGATATATCCTCAAAAGCAAATGTGATAGTCTTTGATATAATCAGTATGTAATATGACCTTTTTTTTTTTTTTTTTTTAAAGTTTTTTGAGACAGGGTTTTTCTGTATAGCCCTGGCAGTTCTGAAACTCACTCTGTAGACCAGGCTGACCTCTAGCTCAGAGATATGCCTGCCTCTGCCTCCTGAGTGCTGGAATTAAAGGTGTGTGCTACTACCGCCCGCTTGTAATATGATCTTCAAGGGACTAATACGTAGCTACAGGTTATTAATTATCTGAAATTCTAAAATTACTGGCCCCTGGAGCTTTGTCATTGTACCATAAATAAAATGACAGTCTAAAAACATGTGCCCCCCATTTTAAAAATTTACATGAAATACAGAGGCAGAACATCTGCACAATGAATACCTGTTGGACAAAGGAGTTTCTGTGCTGAAACCCTTCACTGTCCCCCATGTCTCCATGCCTTGTCCCTGGTGTGTGTGGGGAGTAAGGTTTAGGTACAGGCTACTCACCACCATGTTGTAGGCATCAGGAACTTCAGTTTCAAATTGAAATTTTCCACCCTGGTAGTAACCCTCATCTATTAAAAACACAAAACAAAACAAAAAAATCTTTAAATAAAAAAAAGGGAACAAAAGCAAACACGAAGTTAGGCTATGGCAAACCGAGAACCAAGAGGTTCACACAGGACCCCAGAGTCCCCCGGTTCCTTCAGCAAAGCTGCACACTGCACAGCCTTGTCCTGCCCCACATGGCCACCAGCAGTACCCGCTCCACAGGCAAAGGTGCCCTCAGAGAAGGGCGGGGTATCCTTCAGGAAGAGAGTTAGTGTGACCCCTCTTAACCCATCTCCTGCCCATGTGAGTCACCTCCTTACTGGCCAGCTCCCAGATCCCTCTGAGGATACCATTTCCATGGGGAGGCTGATGAGACCTGACTGCTGTCTGCCCAGCACCTGTGCACAGCTTCCAATCACTCAGCACATGCGTACTCAGTACAACTCCCCCGCTAGAGGGCTCAGGACTCGGGGCACAGTGGGAATTGGGGAGTTATAACCACTATTTCAGTGAGTGCTTGGTGAGGCTTCCAGGAGAGAACAAGCCCTTAGGAAGTAAGTACTGGCAAGAACCTAGGAGGATGTCGACAGGCAACACAGCACACAGTCCCTCTTGCTTATTTGGTTGGACCCAACCTCACTTCGAGAAGGGGCTGCTGCCGCAGAGGGTGCCGCAGCCTGTCTATCTAACTGTGGCATAAATAGACGAAAAGCAGGCTTCTTCAAGAATTCTGAGGCTGTAGGCTAGTGAGATGGCTCAGCAAGCAAAGGTGCTTGCTACCAAACCTGAAAACCTGAGTTCAATCTCCAGGACCCACAAGATGGAGAGACCAACTCCCGCAAGCTGTCCTCTGACCTCCACCCAAGAACCATGGCATATGTACACACAAAACTAAATTAAAAAAACAAGCCATCTTTGTGGCCAGCACTATGTTATCCAACAGTTAAAGCAGCCATTACCAGATCTTAGCATTCATACTCTGGCAATCTTAAAAAATCTTATTAAATACTATTTGTCCTTTATTTCACAGTCCTTGCTAAATGTTAGTATTGCTGAAATAGCTTGGATTACTGGTTATTTCCACTTCTTCCCAAAGAATTGATGTCCAGTTCTTCTTAGCAAGAGGAGTATCTTTGGGCCAATGATGTGGAAAGCTCCTAGATTTGCTTTTGCTTTTGTTAATGTTTTAGTTAATGTGCATGTTTGTGTGGGCGCCCACAGACGCCTGCAGAGGGTCTTAAGAGCCACGTCCCCAGCTGAAGTTACATGAAGTATGAGCCCTAAGTGAGTACTGTGATCTGGAAGAACAGAAAGAACTACTGACCACTGAATTGTTGATTCAGAAGGCCTCTGCCATTTCATTTATGTATTTGGGATGTGTGCGTGTATGTGTATTGAGAGAGGGTTTCCCTGAATACCATGGCTGTGCTGGAACTCAGTCTGTAGACCACACAGCTTGGCCAGCACACAGGCTAGGTTTCCATTTCCAAGAAGTCAGTTCTACTTGAATCTTCATGGATTCAGCCTCTAGTGTCATGTTTTTAAAAGGTCTTTCACAACCAAAATTAGATGAATGTCTTAATAAACAATTCACTTGTTTCACAAAATATGGTGTTTTGTTTTCTTTCCTGCCAAGTGGCTGTTTAACTATTCTCTTTTCTATTTGATACATTAATCTGCTATCAGTTTGACTGAGTTGAGAACATCCTAGGAGACAGTAAGGCACAGCTTTAGGAGTGTCTGTGAGGCCTTTCCAGAAACCAGTCATGAGGACTCAGACCTAAGGAGCCACTCAGTTCAGGATAGGACCATGGAAGTGGGCGCTGGCTGGAGGAGAGACGACGACCCTGTGAGGCTCTCGGGGCTGCATCCTGCCTTTCCCATACTGCTTTTCTTCCTGTTTGCCATGATGTGAGATCTACCATGCCCTCCCTGCATAATGGACTGCCACCCCTAAAATGGTGAGCAAACCGAATCATTCTTCTTTTTAAGATGTCTGTAAGGTCATTTACTCTTTGTAATATACCTAGATTTGTGACACAGTAACAAGTCTTGGGAAAAGACACTTGCTGGTACGTTTAGCTCCAAATCTGAGGACTTTTCCTGTAGGTGGCATCTTTACATACACTACAGTACATCCATGTGACTCCAAGGCTTGGCTGACCTTGTTCTCTTGACTTCAATCACCATGGTACAGAATCTCTGTGTCAGGCTTCTTCACTGCAGACCACACAGCCCACTCTAAATTCACCCCAGTGATCCAGAAGAAGGTGTGCTGCAAACAAGCCTCCTGCCATACTGTCTTTTCTCTCTAGCTGGCCTTCTAGTTCATTGATGGCAGTTACTCTGGTTTTGTCGTCACAAAGAAGCTAGTGTTTCTAACGCGCTTCTTCTTCCATCATGCTCCTTCTGCCCAGGAAAGTTTTTATTTAACGATTAGAATGTCTTAAGTAACTAAGATCCACCTGTTTTCTTTTTAAACAAACTCTTCTCTCAGGAAAGCGACCCGCTTCTCAGTCAGCACCTCCCTATTCAAAGCTGCTGTCAGACCGGACCCACTTCTCTTTCCTGGCTTTGCAGCACACCGTGCAGCCGAGGAGTGCGTTACACTGCACAAGGCCCGAGCTCAGCGGTGCCCCCCCCCCGACCCCCGGGACCCCCGGTTTCAGAGGCTGACTACAGTTGGTGAGCTCCTGACAACCCTTCACACCTGCCTCCACAGCCCAGACAGCCCGAGGAGAAGAGAAGGAGGAGGCCTCCTCTCCTCTGGAGCGGACAGGCGGAAGACTGCATTGTACAGTGCACGGCCCAGCATGTGTGTGAACTCGTGCTTCTAGCCACAGTTGCTGAAGCTAAACACATTTGACTCTTGGCAACTGGGACTGAATTCTGAACTACAGTAGGAGAAGGCTCCTGGTTCCCTGCCCACTGCCACAGTTAGGACTTAACCCTTCCTTCCACTGGAGCTTTGCAACCTGCTTCCTCTTGCCTTCAAGGAATCACACAGATGATGAGTAACTCCAGGAACAAAGTTTCTAGGGTTTCATGGACACTAACACTTGGACAGAACCAACTTCCACATTTGCCCTACCCCAGAATTACTATGTGCTCTCAAAGTCCAGAGGTCACACCAGCTTCACTTTGCTCCTTGAATTTCACAACCTTTCCCTACTTTTACACACACACACACACACACACACACACACACACACACACACACACACACACACAGAGTTCACCATTCGGATGTTTAAACAGGTCCAGAGGTTTGGGAGTAGCAGCAGGAGCCTGTTGTGTTACCCCAAATCCACAGTGCTTCTTCACGGCAGAGTGGCACTGGATACACTGTTTTGGGTTCAGAAACTACGCAGAGATGATTAAAGTTTCATTTAGAAAATCCAATCTCAAACTGGACAACCTGTAATCCCACCACTCAAAAAGTATAGACAGGATGATCAGAAGTTTGCCATCCTTGGCTACATAGTAAGTTAAGAGACCAGCCAAAAATGGATGGAACTAGAAAATATCATCCTGAGTGGGGTAACCAAGACCCAGAAGGACAAACATGGTATGTACTCATTCATAAGTGGATACTAGGTATAAAGCAAAGAACAATCAGACTGCAACCCACAGAACCAGAGAGACTACCTAGCAGGGGGGAACCTAGGATGACTGTGGCTTATAATAAGTTTTGGGTTTACTCAATTACTGGGCAAGCTTCAGTGAAACATTTCACTATTAGGATAAGAATTTATACTATATCAAGCTGATAATAAAAATAAATAAATAAATGAATAAATTAAAAAAAAAAAGAGATCATCACCATCATAGCAGGGAGCATGTCAGCAGGCATGCTCAAGACATCTTAAACCACAAGCAGGAAGCAGAGAGCAAATGGGAATGGTGGGAGGCTGTGAAACCTCAAAGCCCACCCCACCAAGTGATGTACTTCTTCCTGCAAGGCTGCACTTCCTAAGCCTCTCCAACAGTACCAAACACCTGAGTACTCGAATTAAAATGACTGAGCCTGTACAGGGCACTCATTCAAGTCACCACATTCCACTTCTATGTCCCACAGACTCATGGTTATTAAGCAAAAGGCATTTAGTCCAACTTCAAGAGTCTCTTCTGAGACTCAAAGGCAGTCTCTTCATTGTAAGCCCCTTATAAAATCAAAAAACCAATTACATACTTCCAACATACAATGGCAGAGAATATACATTTCTATTCCAAAAGGGAGGAATCTGGCTATAGTGAGTTAACACCAGAGCAAAGCAAGACTGAAACCCAGCAGGGCAAACTCCAAATCCTGGAGCTCCATGGCTGATGTTAGATGGCTTAGATGGGTTTGCCCAGTGGGCTTTGCTGCCTACCTCTTTCTGAACTAGTTCCAATCTCTGTGTGCAGCAACCCTTGGCAGAAATCCCAGGACTCTGGCATCTTCAACATCTTGGGGTCACCAATGCAACTCAAGCTTCATTTCCACAGCTTCATGCAATGGGCCTCCTCTGAAACCGTGGAGGAAGATTCCACAACCCCTTTAAATATTCTTGTATCCTTCATTACTCTAAATCCAGCACCCCACCGACATCACTGCCAAGTTTGGCTACCAACTTGGTTGTTCTTTTCTAGGAGTAGAAAATTGCTTAGGTTTTCCTTTCACAAGTTGGAAGCTTGATTGGGTTGAGAGTCTTGTCCTGAGGGCGTGGAATGTGGTAGTTTGAATGAGATGTCCCCCATAGTCTCAGTCATTTTAATACTTGTTCCCCTGTAGCTAAAGTTTTCTCCAGTCCTGCCTGGCCCACGGTCAGGACAAATCTCACCCGCCAGTCCCACGGCCGCTCAGACCCAACCAAGTAAACACACAGAGACTTATATTGCTTACAAACTGTATGACCATGGCAGGCTTCTTGTTATCTAGTTCTTAGATCTTAAATTAACCCATTCTATTAGTCTATATGTTGCCACGTGGCTTGTGGCTTACCAGTACCTTACATCTTGCTTTTCATGGCAGCAGCTGGCA